GAGTCAGGAACTCCATCTTGTTTTTCAGTTCTAACAGAGACCACAGCGACAACTGCTCCTGCACCCTCTGGTCCCACAGTGCCCTCTCCTTCAAGCTCCACAGGCTTCTCAGCTGTAAGCCCCAAGGATGAGGTTTCATCCTCTGTGTTGTCCTGAACCTGTGGGGAATTGCAACACATCTCTGAAAAACGGTACAAGCAGGGAGTGACCAGCAATGCTCTAGGTGGAAAACCACAACACCCAAAAAAGACAAGAGCTATGGAAGAGCATAAGGTGACGACATGGGGATTAGCAGCTCACCAAAATGCCAGCTTGTGTTGTTTCTGAGGATGTCTAGCTCATTAAACAAAGGGCAACCTTAAAACTGATTTAAAGGAAGGGACAGGTGGCAGCACTTGAAACAAGACTAAGCCAGAAGATGAGGAGGTGGGGAAGAAGGCAGGAATGTGCCAGCCACAGTAACTACAGCATTTAAAGCCGGAGATAGTGGTGGTGTTTCATGTCCTCCCTTCGCAGAGGTACCTCAGCTTCACCTGCATTTCTCTCTACAACTGAAGATACAGATGTGATCCATGTGACACCATTCACAGTGGATGGTATCTCAGGTGTTCATGTATCATCTTCAGTAACTCTGTGCAGTGCAGGAGCCCTAATAGCAATCATTTCAGTACCTCTGCATCTGTGCACACCATCTCCCACTCCATTTCTGTAGGCACTGCATCCACCCACCCTGCAAGCTTCACAAGCTTCAGTGTTTGCTGCTTCTAAACATCCATATGTCTCTCACTGGAAATGAGCTTCAGTTATCTCAGGCTTCACAAGGAAGGTCCTTGACAGTAATATACCCACAACCTGGTTCTAAACAATAGTACCTACCACTTGCTGAGTTTTTCTTTGACAAATCACCCTTTGTGTTATATGCAATACTTACTGCAAGTTTTGCTTCTGGAGCACATTCATCTCTTGTTTCATCCAGCATCAACTCTGTTATGGGTAGTTTCTCTTGTTCTGAAGGCTCCTGCTTTGCAAACAGCTCTTCCTTGGGAGTGATGGCTTCGATGCTGTGAAACTCTTTGTCATGTGATAAAGTTTCTTCCTCTGTTGTCCTCTGCACTTCATTTACCTCTTTATGGTCTTCTACATATCCTTGACATCCTTCCATGCTTTCTTCCATCGCAGTAGGTATTTCACTTTTCTCTGAACCTTCAGGTAAAACACTCTCTTCAATTCTGTTTTGGCCTGGAATGCTCTCTGCACTTCGCTGGGGGCCTTCCTCTTTGTGTTCTTTTTCCAAGGACTGTTCAAGCAGAACAGTTTCCTGGCCTACAACATCTTTAGCACCACCTTTCAGTTCTGACTCAAGTCCCTGTACTGTTGTAATTACAGTTTCTGACACAGCTCTTTCACTAACCAGCTGTGTTACATCTGACTTTACTCTCTCAGCAACTTCATGAAGAACTTTTTGAGTCTGCTTGTCCAATTCCTTCAAATTTTGTTCAGTGGCCTCTACTTCTTGAACTGGTGTAGCTTCCTCTGTAGTATCTGGGGTTTCTAACAACTGTGAAACAGCAGAAACCATCTCAGTTGTCTCCTCGGCAAGGGACACTTCCATGGTTTCTTCAGCACAGGAAGCTTCTGCTGTCTCCAGAGCAGTCACCGCTTCAGAGGTTAGCTCCAGCTCGCTTGCTGCGGTGTCATCACTTACATCCTTCCTGGCCTCTGGCACTGTCTTAGCAGCTACCACTGCATCCTCCACAGTAACACCTGGTTCAGCTGTTGTATGGGCTTCTTTCTCTTCCTCCTCTCCTGCCTGCTCAATGCACTCTGTCAGAGCAGCAGATATCCATGACGGTGACCTTTCCTCAATGCTGGTCACTGCCCTTTCTTCTTCCACAACAGTAACAGCAACTGCATGCACCAGCCCGTCAGATCCTTGCTCCATCCTCAGGGTCTCCTCTAACTTTTCTGCTCTCTCTTCCTCTGAGACTCGTTCTCTCATCGCTTCAGCATCTTTTGCACGTTGGGCTTCCATTTTCTCCTGTTCTGCTGCTTCATATTCAGATAAAGGAACAACAGCTGGAATATCAGAATCTTCTTCAGCTGTTTCTGCCATGTCTTCTCTTGCTTGTTTAAGATGAGCTGGTTCTGGTTTTCCGTCTGACTTTTTCTTCCTACGGCCAGGCATCAGTTTTCTAAATGGAACCCACGATTCATCTTTTCCAGGCTCACCATCCGATGTTGAATGCTCCAGGCTAGATCCCACAACTGAGTCTTCAGTTCTCTCTTCCATTCTGGTTTTGGATCTCCTTCTTGGAGTAACTAACCTTTTGAATGATTCCCACGTTGAAATACCTTCACTTTCAGATGGGCTTCCAGCTTGTTCTGGGGAAGAATTCCCTTGTCCTTGATCACTCTCCTGAGAGCTAGTAAGAACTACATCTGTTGCTGTTTCTTTGCTCTGTCCAGACTCTTCTACTTTTTGGCTTTCTTCATCAGATGATGATGACTTCCTGGCTCTTTTCTTTGAAGAACCTACACATATAAAAGTTTCCCAGGACACAGAGGCATCAACTTTTCTTTTGGGCTCTTCTGTAATTTTCTCTGGTTTCTGGTCAATCCCATTTTCTTTTATTTCTCCCTGATTTTCATCAATAACATTTTCAGTTGCAGATACTGCAACACCCTTTGTCTTATCAATTTCTTCTTCTTTATCGCTTTCTGAAGACCTTCTGACACGTTTCTTGGGAGTCACCATCTTTTTAAAAGATGCCCAAGGCGTAACAGTTTCTCTTTTTCGCTCCACATCTGGAATTGTGGCATCTTCACTTTCAGTGACTTGCATTCCATCTGCAGATTTTTCCAAAGAGGGAATTTCATTTATCTCCTCAGGAGAGGAAGCAGAACTCTCTCCCTTTTGTTCCTCTGGGCTATCTGGGGAATCTGATAAGTGCTGAATTGGTTCACCCTGTTCCCCTAACTTAGATTCTTCTCTTTTACCTTTTTGCTTCTTTCCAGACAGCTTTTTCAACCCAGTACCTGTAAAGAGTTTCTTTAAAGGGCTGCCTTGTGGTTTAGCCTTTTCTTGAGAAGACAGGAGTTCCACTTCATTTGTGATACCTTCTGGAGGCCTCTTTCCAGCTGCCTCTTCAGAAGTTATTTCCACGGTTGTTTCATCCAGTTTGACAGTATCAGTCGCATCTGTGCCAGGTTTTCCCTGTAGTCCTTCATCGGTGGGTTTGACTGACTGTTGATTATCCTCTGTGTCAACTGAATGTTCAGAAGTAGAAAAGGACTTTGATTCAGGAGCACCCAGAGCTGACTTTGTTTCATGCTCTTTGCTTTCTTTCTTCTCTGTGGTTCCATCCAGAGCTTCTCCCCGTGCAACATCTTCTGCTGTGGGTGACATTCTCAATTCTGCTTCCTCTGTTTTTTCATCTAATGTCCCTTTCCCAAGTAGAGCAGGTTTACTTCCTTCTCTTCCTTCAGATTTTTTAAGCTGATCACTAGAAATTTCCACTGCCACAGATCCTGTTTCAAATGTCTCTTCAGAGGCTATTTCAGTTCTGTCATCTGTTTCACACTTCTCCATTGACTCCAGTTTTTCTCCCACAGGTAGGACTTCTGAGGATGTTTCCAATTCTCCGTTCACACTGTCAGTGACAAGAGGTACCTCTGACTTTGTTTTTAGTGATTTCTCTGTCACCTCAGCTTCTTTCTCTCCTTCTTCAGTTTTTTCTTCCTCTTTACTAAGATTTTCTGAAACTTCCACCAGTTTCCTTTCTTGATCATCTTCATCTTTTTTTCCCTCTTCACTTTCTTTTACAGCTGTTGCTACCGGATCCTCTTTTTGTCCCTGCTCATCATGCTTGACTACCTCTTTCTTTTCACTTACTTCTACTCCTATGGCTGCCAGAGTCTTTTCTGACTCCTGTGTTTCACCTTCAGTTTTCTCCTTTTCTTGTGCTTCAATAGTTACTGCTGTCACAGTCCTCTCTTCATCTTGCTTCTCAGACCCAGGTTTCTCCTCCTTTTCACTGATTTCAGATGTTAATGTTGTCCCCTCCTTTTCTTTCTCCTCTTCTTTCACAGGAGACTGTTGTTCATCTTCTTTAGTCTTCCTAAAACTCTTCTTTTTTCTAAATCCAGTCCATCCTTGAGTAAAAAGTTTTCTTAATGGTGATGCAGTTTCAGTGGCTAAGGCAGCTGGCTGAGAACAAACCTCATTTGCTTCTGGTATTTTAGGAGATTCGTCTTCTGTTTTTTCATTATTCAGTATGTCTTTGGTATGGTCTTCTGCTGAGAGTACATCCTCAGGCACTGCTGTTTCTTCTGAGCTGACTTCTTTTTGATCATCAGCTCCTTCAGGGACCTGTGTGTCCTTTTTTACAGTAAGCAGCTGAACTGGTTCCGATTTTCCTGTCTTTTCCTTCTTCACTGTGAATCTGAACCCAACAAATTTAAAAACCTTTTTAAAACCCAGATCATAAGACTGTGGCTCTGCCCCCTGATCTTCTGCAACTTCTTCCAAAGCCGGCAACTGCTTAATTGAATGAGCATCCTCCTTCTCAGCATCTACACCATCCTTGGTGCCTGAGTCAGATGGATTTGTCGCCATAGTTTCAGTGTCTTCCGTCAAAGTTACACTGGAATGTTCTGTTTGTCCAACTGTTAAAACAACAACAAAACCCTAGTTAATTTCTTTCTAAATTTAATGTTGTAATACACCTTCATTTATTTTTTCATTATTGTAAATTCATAAACATATTTTCATTATTATCTGTGTACCTTTTCTATATGCTAATAGTACATTTTTAAGAATTAGTTTTGGTTCTGTCATTACTATAATTATTTTCCTTCTTCATATTGTACAATTCTTTCCAAAGTTTATTTGCAAATGCACCTTTCAAGCTAATTCTATACCCTGATTTTGCAGTTCTTTTTGTGTGGTTTTTGACTTTAAGTTTACCTTAAAGTAAAAAAAAAAATAATAAAGTAAAAAAAAATATTTCTATCACAGACTATACAGAATAACATATGCAATTCTTCCTGAAACAAAGTTCAATAAACATTTCCAGTGCAGACAGACACATCTGAGGAAACCCAACAAAAAAAACCTGCAAACAAACAAAACAAAACTTCAAAAAAGCCTTATGACCTAAAATGATGACAAAAAAAGAAAGCTTATTTTACAGCTCTGTCCCGTAAGAACAGCAAGATGTGAAAATGCCCATGGGAAGTTACCTGTTTTTCTGAAAACTTATAACCCCTACAAAACATCTGTGTAACAACAATATATTGCTTTGAAGATCATGAATCTTTGGAATTCTCCCATACAATATATGTATGCATGCAATACATCAACATCTACCGCAGTTCCATGTTACTTAAAATGAATGAAGTTGTTACCAAGTAAGAAGGTAAAATTCTCCACTGCTCACGTGTCTGTTTGCATTATCTTTTCTTTGAGGAGAGTTTGTGTTTTTCCTTCAGCTCACTGGCAACCCCCCTCTAAGTCTTGCTGGGATAATTTAAGTATTATTGTCCTCTGGACAACTCAAGTTCAGAGACTGGCCTGTAGATTAGATCTACGGCATATTCAAGACACCAAAAGATTCTTGGCCTTGGATGCTGCCAGGATTTCAGTTTAATATTGTTCTTGGCCCTAGATTTTGTGCAACAGGTGAAAATGCAAGGCCACAAAGGAACATGCTCTTCTCTCTGACCAAACCTGTTAGAAGTGTCAAGATGGAAAAAAAAAAAAAATTAAAATATTCAATGTTGAACAGCAACATCCTAGAAGAAGAAGGCATGGTCCCTTTCTTTTAAGCTGTACATGTGCTAATTCAATGTCCAGAGGCAGGAGGAGACAGCTTTACAAAGCATGTGATCATCAACTTCCCCAAAAGGATGTGGTTTTTACTTGAGCCACCTTGAAGTTGTCTCTGACTCTGCAGCTGGCCCTGCTTTGCTGGAACACCTGATCTTCAGAGGTCCCTCACAGCCTCTTGCCTGGTTCCCACTTTATTTGAAGGGCTGCTTCTTCAGAAGCACACACACAGTGCAGAATCCAGGTAAGGCTGGAACTAACTACACAATAAGTAAAACAAAATCTGCAAGGATACTGGCTTCTAACTGCTATGTAGAGGGCAAATTATGTTTCATAATCAGCAGCCTATGGTTGTTGTTTTTAAGTTAACATAAGCAAAGCTTTTTGTTTTTATTTTATCTAACAGTTTCATATTATTTACCTCAATTGTTAACTCCTAATTCAATTAAAAGCCTGATGTCTGCTAACATGCTAACTCCCCAAACATTTTAGACCAGAGATGTTTGAACTGAGCAATTTTTGAGGGAGAAGGGTAAGACAAAAGAGACATTTTGAAGAAGCCAGAATTTTTGGTCTATTGGTAATATGCCTCTTGCAAATACCTTAACAATCCGCAAGTGAAATAATTCTTATCAAACATTACATTTTGTTTATTTAGTTGTATGTTGAGACTATACAAGGATAAAGTCAAGGAACCACTTTTGTGTCTGTGTTCATCTATTCCTACATCTGGAAATGAAGTCCTTGTCATTTCCATAAAATTGTGTCATTTAACAGAAAATTGTCAAAGGCTTAAAGGGAATTCAGAAAGTTAGAGGCACTTTTTCAGAGACTGTCTTCAAATCATCATATATAATTATTTAGTAACAGGTACTTCAATATATACTTAAGCACGTTTACACAAAGAATGACTCTTGGCTTAAGCAGCTATGAAGCTAAATGCTGATCATTCAACATTGAATAAAAATATGCTCATGAACAGGCCTCTTAGCATCTCTGCTGGAAACAAGGTCTATAGAGTCTTCCTGTTTGTCCCAGCCCTGCATTAATGCCAACATGCTTGCTCTTAGACATGAAAATCTCCATCTGACACGAGTCAGACGAAGGCAGACTGAAATACAGGGCTGAGAACCAGTAGGGAATTCTGGGTCTAAGCGGGAATGACCAGAAGTGCAGGAAGTCAGAAGGGAGTGGAGAGGTCAGAAGGCACTTGGGACTCCTGAGCACCCAGCAACATGGATTTCTATGGACTTGCCTTTCCTTTTGCAAACACTCCCTGGGAATGCATGTCCCTCATCCTTGAAAATTCTGAGGTTTCAAAAAAATTGTAAAAAGGTGACATTTGTTTTCTTATTTATTCCAAAATTTTCCCTAACTCCCTTAAGGAAACATCCCCTTGGAAGTTTCCTTCCAAATTCATCCCAAAGCACAGGAGTTTAGTTTAAGATGAGTTTCAGGTGTTACAGATAAATGGAATTACTGTAAGAGTGGAAGATAAAGAATATGAATAAATGAGGCATTCCATTTCCAAAGAGAGATAAGATGTGAAACCAGCATATAAAAGGCGCCTCTTCGTATTTAAGATATGCATTCAAAGGGTTTTTGCTTATTCTGTTTATAAAATAATGTGTTTATAACACCCTAAGATAAAGACCATGTCTCTGTAAAATGTTTTGCAGGTGAAAAGAGCTGTGACTATTACAAAATCTCAAGGTATGGGTATGCATTGAGATAGAAAATGCAATCATAAAAATAGAGAACATAGAGCTTAGAGGCAGTGATAAGCTTTCAAGCTGTTAAATCAAGCTGACAGCAATTAGGTCTTCCTTGTGAGTCTATCCAGCAGACACATTACCTTGCAATATTTCACTAAACAGTGCAAAAGGAAAACTAACAGAAATATTGATTATTGATATTGATCTTATTAACACCAGTCTGAAATGTCACAGTTATGCTACAACACATCACACTTCCATCTCTCCCTCATGGTGCATAGATGATATACTTACAGACAGACAGCCCAAGCACCACCCCTTCAATTCCACCAAAGGAGTTAACCTGTCCAGAAGGTATTTTACCCCCAAGATAACATTCTGCTGTCACCTGTTAAGTGACCTGCTGCACCCAGTCTCTGCTTTGTCTCCCTCTTTAACATTTTAAAACTCTGGAAGATTCTTTAAAACTGAATTTCTGATGCCCTTCCTCAGTGTTTGAAGAAAGAGGTGCCATTCAGGAAATGTGCCTGCATGTTGCCAGGAGGCTGCCACTGTTGTGTGACAAAGTGCCACAAATATCCAAGCATACACCTGGAACTTTATATTTAGCAGTTGGACTCTAGAGTGATGCTTTTATTAATGACACTTCAGTGCTCAAACACTTTCAGTATAATTCTGAATGCAGAAAGGCTTAGAAGTTACTGACACAAGGCATTGCTGGTCAGAGTTCTGTAGCATGTCACTACCACAGGTCTTCTGGCAAGACAACCAGCACTTTCTGAATTAATTCAGTGGTTTTGAAAGCACCTTTAAGAAACACCAGACAGGCTCATCCAAACAGCTACCAGAAAACAAAACAAAACAAATACAGTAAAATACTGATATGAGTAACATTTCCTTAGGTCTCTCCTGAACAGGGCTGTACTTTACCAGCTATGTGTTAGCCAAGAAAGAGAATACAACAAAAATATACTTAGAGGAGGTGATGAAGATCAGGGGTGATACCATAGAATTGATACACTTTGCTGTTTAAATCCACCATGGCTAAGGAGCAACACTGAAATTCTATTTTAACTACTTACATACCAATTAACCTTTCAAATATTTTTCATTGAATCAAGGTGCTGCTCATGCTTTAATAACTGCAAGTTTTATTCTGAAAGAAACTTTCTAAACTGACAGTTTTGAGGACTCAAAGGTGCTTGATCTCACAATTTCATAGATATTTAGTCCACTGTAAGCAGTTATTTCCATTTTATCAGGAGCATGCTAATCAGTTGTTGGACAATTAGTAAACGACAGAATTCCTGTCTCATCCCATTTTAAAAGAAAATGAATAATCTCTTCTTTTTGTAGACCGACAGACACTGTCAGCAGTGCGACTTAACTGCTCCCAGCTCTCATCTCTCTCCAGCAGTGAAAATGTGTTTCTCCCCTGGTAGCTGCCAAAGAGTTAACAAAAAGCACTCTTGACTGCAAGAGTTAAATCCACAGCACTTCATGAGCTCAAAGTCAACCCTGTCAACATCTGGAGTTGGTTGACTTTTCCCCCTAAGGATTTGCAGCACGGTGCTGGATTTTTTCCATGAATTCCCTGCATTCTCAATCTCTCAGATGGATGTGACACACACCCAGCGCCCACCTCACAAACTCCTCTGGCCACTGCAAGGCTCCAGAGGACTTTGTGCTGTTTCCATTTATTCAGTGTTTAGGGCCAAGTCATGCTTTTGGTCACATACACAAGTCTCTCACTAGGTTCACATGAGCAAAAGCAAATGCTGCAGCCACGAGGTGTCATTTACAATTGTTTGTCACCGCTGTGTCTGGATTTGCTACAAATACAACTTGTAAAAGAAAAAAAAACCAAACCACAAACAAACAACAAATCTCCAGATACTGCTCTAAAACATCTATGAGAAAAACAGAAGGCACATAAAAAAAATCTGAACCAAGCTTGTATTTATCAAATGTGGTTTTCTCTTAATGACACAATTCTTCTAATTATCATTAGAAACACTAACGACAATAAGGGATAAAAATTGATACAAGTGAGTAATTAAAAACCAAAACACATCTTGAAATTACAGTATCTATGAAACCTGCCCTGAACAGATTTATTTAGAATAAAGTGTATTTTTGGAATTATTTGTGAAATTGAGCACTTTAGCATAAAACAAAAAAGTAAAATAATAAAAAAAGAAAAATAAAAAAGTTTCCGCTGCAGAGTGTACTAACTGTTCATTATTCCATAGATTCAGATTCTTTTAATCACAAGTTTCAGAAGGTTGGGTTTAATAAATCAAACACACTACTCACTTTGCAGTAACAAAAAAACACAGAAATATGATTGTGTTATCGTTCTAACAATTTAATTTTTTTTAACTACAACTGTGACATTACTGTTTCTTAACAATATATTTTTCACAAATTCTTCCTTCCTTTGCCTGCTACACACCATATTTATTTCCACTTCAATGTACAAACAGTTCTTCCATAGAAAGCACATACTATGGCCTTCTCCCTTCTATTCACTCAGTTTCCTAAGGACTGACTTGCCATGTTCATTGCAGGGAGCAAGTTCTTTCAGATTAATTAAATAATGAGGGAGGATTTACACAGATTTTTGCATGCCAAATCTCACCCTGCATCCATGCAATTCATGAGCTTTTCAACCATGTTGTTACTTCAAAGCTTTTGAAACAAGTACTATTTAGTCTTCAGTTCTCTGGTACTTCAGCGGCAACTGAAGAGTTAGGTTTAAAAATCTCACATACTTTTGTGTTCATTTTTAAAAATGGAAAAAAGGAACAAGCTGCAAAATATCTGTAGTTTTTCATGGCTTAGAGCTCCTTCAGAAAGCAAAAGCAGCATCCACAGAAAACGACATCACAGAAAAGTAACAAACCCCCCCCCCCGCCAAGCACACAATCATTTCCGCTGTGATGCTGTAACATTCTAACATTCCTCAAAAATATTTATTTTTAGAAGATTTTGATTTAGCTGTACTTGTCTGCTCCAACCCAGAGCTTCTCAAATTCCAATTCTGAGACCAGCTTCTCAAATTCCAGCAGGAAAACTTATGCATTTCATTTATTCAAGATGAAGATATTTCTTTTTTCATTTCAGTGTTTCAAGAAACAGCCCTAAAAATCAGGTAACAGTATAGTTTTTCTTTAAAACAAACAGAAGACTTAAAGCCAGAAGGGTCATTAGCTATGGCTTGGATAAAGTTGCTGTAGTTAAAAATTCTTCATTAAATATGCTCACAATAATAAACTGCTCTCAGAACAGCACAGCTGTTCTGTTTGGGAACCAAACCAGCAGGCTACAAATATTTATGAAATTTCATGGTTAGACATGCTGTCCACATCTCACATTCAGTGACTTGATTCTGCTTCTTAAAATAAAATTTATTCACCAAGCGTAAGATAGATGCAACTCTAGCACTCAGGTATTTGAGAGGGAAAAAAATTCATGGCTCCATTAGCAACAAGGATGGGATAAGCAATACAAGCCAATAAACCCTAGGATGTTTTTGAGAACCCCTAATGATTAATGAACAATGAAAAGCAGATTGAAATTTTTTATCAAAACGACCACATAAAGACTAATGTAAACATCACAAACTCACCACAAAGGAGATGAAACTGCATCTGCACTAATTAGACACATGACAGCTTCATACACTCCTGCATACCAATAAGCAGAGCTTATACCAATACTCTGCTCCTTCCAAAAAATGCTAACACATACTACAAGCTAAATGCAGTTCTTGCGCTATGTACTATAGAAGCAGCTGTGCTGCAATGAAAATCCAAGGTTCTTCCACAGGAATTATTAAATAAGGAAAGCCTCAAACGATCAAAACTGTGCAAACCTATAAAGACATTGCTTTTGAAAAGCAGTTTAACCTTTAATTGCTAACAATAGAAGGAAATAAAAAAAATAGAGAACCCTTGAGGAAAAAGGCTCAGCATGTGATAAGCTCATTAAACATCAAGTTTAATGAAAACCCTATTGTAAACAGCAGTAGGATACCTCCTCCACTACTCACTGATTCAAATCACGTACAGTCCTCCCCAAGGCCAGCTCCAAATGGAGCCGCACTTCTACAGGCTTTGTTGTCGAAATGTATTGTAAAGTTGAAGTATTTTGCATGAATCAACTCCCCCTATTTGTTGAACTCATTCACTGGCCCTAGCAAACAATATACAAGAGAGTAATTATCAATACAATGAAATAAAGATTTCCTAGATAGCTAGAGCCATACATCATCAATCTGAGAGAAATTCCGATGCAAATTAGCTATCTTTAAGAAAAAAAAAAAAATCACAAAAAAAGGGGTTTGTTTATTTAAATTTCATAATAGCACTTTGTCTCCCAGAGAAAGACCTAAGTTTGTGCAAACCCAGCAGTTTGATGATGTTCTTTCTTTTAATTCTTCACTCCTCCAAAACTCATCTTTTCAGAAAGCCCAATTAGTTTACGGTGTTAGCTCAGCTTCAGTGGCTTGCGTGCTAATTCCTTAAGTAAGATGTGCGGAGTTCAGTGCACACAGCATCGCGTTTTTGGTACTGCAGGCTGGGATCCCGCTGCTCCCCATACACACACACCCCCTTGCCACGGCGCTAATCCCCTCTGAATTTTGCTTTGTTAAGATAAAACATCAACAGAGTAACAGCTTCATTTCTCTCATGCAAGTATTTTTACAACACGAACGATGCAAGCTTCCGTTATGTCCCCCAACTTCACCAAGTTTAGCTCTTAAAAGTATTTTGCTGCCTTATTGCTTGATGTAAAATAGCACCATCAAGTGCGCTGCCTTTTCTTTCTATTCCCCACTTTCAGATAGCAGGTCATAGCCCCGTCCTGCAGAAAAACACCCAGTTATCTCCTCCACCTTCACAGAGCCTCGCATCACAGGTACCACATCGTATGCCCGTCCGATCGAGGCCACAGGACACTTCCTGAAGTTTCAGCAACCTTAGCCTGGAATCTCACTGAGATAAAAATACTTAAGCCAGACTTTTAACTCCTAATTCCTTCCCTGCCAGGAGAGCCAGAGTGGGTGAGCCTGGGGGCTCCGAGGCTGTCCCGGGATGCTGCTGCCGCCCGCACAGCCCAGGCGCTACGGAGCGCAGGGAGCAAAGCGCGTGTGCCGGCAGCGCCACACCGCCTTACC